GATACTGCTGAACACTAGAATCAACAGAACATCAGCGTAAGTACTGAGTTAAAGATGATAATGATAGATGTTCTATACATACTTGAAAAGCATTCCTTTTCCTGGTGGCAGAGGATGGTGCCCATTCTAATGTCGCTCCTCTTAAGTCACAGCTACTCTCAGGCTTTCCATGTGGRAGACCAGTTCTCTGTATAGCAAACAAGGATTTAGCACCATTGATAAATACTCAAAATACCATGGCCCTTGGAGCTCAGACTAATTCCATATAAGTTGGTCCCAGTTCGTACTCGATTAGATTTTTTTGCCGCTCACTGCTAGTTTGAGCAACAAACCAAAACGAAAACTGAGGAGCAAACTGAGGAGCAAAAGCTAGGACTTAACTAAGGAATCAGTGTACTTGGAACAGTGGGCTTAGTGATTTTTAAGGGACTATAGCTACTGTACAGCTACCTTCCTCTTATATTCCCCTGTTTTCTCTTAGTTTGGCTCCAACATTTCCAAAATGTTTTTTCAAGAACACTATTAAGCTTAACCCAACCCTAGGACAACCTTGAGTTTAACTGAGAGTCATTTACTGTCTTGTCTTAATTAAACGTCAAACTACTTGCAAAGTCATAAAGTTCAATCTTTTTGACAAGGCAAAGTGACTAATAATTGAGAATGTAAGAATCTGGTTCATTGTGAATAATAAGGAACTTCAGATTGAACAACAAGCATGAGATTGAATACGAGTATGAGTTTTCAAACCAGCTTTTTAATATTGAGTTGTCCAAACTGGATTTCAACCAACTTTGCGTTTTTATTTCTTTAATTGATGTCTCAATCTATTCACAGGAATGCAATTCATGATTAATAGCACACTTAAGGCCAATTTTAAAACTCGTACTSGTACTCAATCTCGTACTCGTTGTCAAATCTGCAGTTCCCTAATAATAATAATATAATACATACTGGTTGTGCAGACTTCTGATCTTTATAAAATACCAAATTGGATGAAAAAAGTGCAACAAAAGTTGTTGACCATGATGGTCTCCTGTTGACACAAAAGCATGCATAGTTTAAAGACAGCACAAAGGCAGGCATAAAGAAATTCCTTTTTGAGCTCTTTAAAAAATGATTAAATAGAAATAGACACTCAAGGGAAGCAATAGCTGGGCTGCCTATCATTTTCTTCACAAAATTTGCACAATTTGAAGTACAAAGTACTCTCATATTCTAAAAATGCTAAGTGCAATCCAATAGTCTCTTTAACGATTCTCTCTCTGCCATCTTGAAGTGCAAGTATGCCCTTGAAATGAAGCAAGATGGTCAGTGTGACTTGCAATAATAGAAACCTTTGTTCATGCTCTCAGACAATTATTCACAGGTGTCTATTATTGCACACTCATCGATTGTGTTGCTTTGATGCAAAGGTATGGTTATGTTTCAAGGTGTCAGAGGAAACTGGCAAGAAGATTATAGGATTTTAGGATGATCATGGAATAAAAGAAATTCTCACAAATACAAAACCTACTTGATTTTCTTGTTCCCACTGTTAGCTATCTTCTTACGGTTGAACAATGCCTGCTTTTCAGCTGTTTCTGCTTGGATTGTTTTGTTCTAAACACACACAAAAATAATAATATGGCGGTAGCATAAGTAAGTTTTGCATCACTAAAGCAAGTTGAGAAGAGTTGAAATTCTCAGAAATGGAAAGCAGATTGAGATTTCTATTTCAGTCATTCATTTGTTCATAATACCATCTTGGAAGAAAACCACTTTTATCACATTTGAAAGATTTTATTGTATTACTAATTTATCACACCAAGAAAATTTATTGTATCTTGCTATGACATTTCCTGTATTCTGCCAGTTTTGACAAATTAAGCACCAATWATCTGACAAAACATCAATCCACTGACCATGCAGTCTACCTAAAATATCTTCAATGCAATTTCAATGGAAAAACAACCTTTTTTTCAAGGTAACACATGGAACTACAGTACAAGACTATTGTAAATTCTTACCACCATGACATATTCATCAGGAGGAGGTGGTGGCCAGTTTTCTTCAGCATCTGATAAACTCTCTTCTGACACACACGAATCTGTTCTACGGTGAAAACTAGGGGTCTATTTGATTGATTAAAAAAGCTATTACTTGACAGCAATAGTATTGTTAAATAACCTAATGCTTCTTCCACTACATTCACCCATACAACCCATGCTGCAAAACAAAAGTATTAGCAATGGAAATTTAAATCGTTTTGGGGTAAAACGCTAGAGTACATGTAGGTCCAGTCTATACTTTTCATTACCATGTAGAAAGAAGGCAAGAAAGTTTATATACCTTCACAGCATTTACTTAATAGAATAATCACTTAACCTAGAGTGTATTATTGCTTGCTTTATTTTTACTGCTTATTTAACATTTAGCTTACTTTTAAACTCACCCCTAACTCAAAGTTATCTGATGATGGAGGGAAATATCTACTAACTGATCCGGATGAACGGCCCATAGGCAACAGAGAACGACTCTTGGCCTTCCTTTCACTCATACTTGGTGACTTTGCTCTTCTTTGGGACGTAACATCAAGCGCTTCAAACGACTGCCGATAAGATGACTGCATCTGATATCAAAGGAAGTTTATGGCTTTGAAGGGAAAGCTGTCTTGCAGGGAGTGATTGACATTGTGATTTGAATGCCTGTTTGACATGTTGCTTAATTAYATTTGACTGTTATTTAATATATTTTAAAAAGCAATGGTTTATGCTTAATTATTTATTGTTAAGCAAGACCGTGAAGGAAACAGATCAAGGGATGAAATAAGAAGAAAACCAAGAAAAGAAAACATAATTTTTGTTCATGCAAGAAATGATGAACTGCCATATGGTGAAATATGGAGAACACAAAAAAGGTACACTAAAATGTAAGCCTAATTTGACTTTTTTTCACTGAAGAGATGCAGTAATTCACTTTATTACTGCACAAAGTTAGTTAGGAGGAAATGCAAATCAGCAAGCTTCTTGCATGTTCATCTAAATTTCATTCAACCCCTTTCATCACCTGTGGCAATTCCCAAGCTGTTTCTGAYCCATCTAACTTGTAATAATAAGTCTTTCCTTCGTCGTCTGATAATCTACCCCAAACATCATCATTTTCTTGATTGTAATATAGTAACTCATCAGGACTGTCACCAGTCTTCACGTGCCAGCCATTGGGAACATTTTCTTGCTATCAAACACAATTTACAGGTTATTACTGTAACCTTAGACCATAAAGACTTCTTGACCAGTGGCTACTTGTAAACAAGCCAGTGGTTTGTACAGAAAGCAATTTTGGTTGTTGTTCATAATGATGCTATTGCAATTTAGGGAAAAGTTTGCCAAACTGATTTTTATTCAACAACGTTACTTATCATTTCCTGAGGCAAGCCAGAACACTCTCCCCATTTTCCATTAATTATTATTTTACCTCGACAATTAATTGTTTTTAATTTACCTCAAATATAAATCTAGAAACTCTTGGTGGTTTCCAGCTTGTTTCGTTAGTTTTTGAATTATAATAATATGGTCTTCCTGATTCCTCGTCCTTTGCTGTCACCCATCCTCCTGGTAAGGACTGGGATTTCGGTCTTTCATTGCCTTTTGAAGATATACTACCACGAAGTGGAACACCAGTCTAAAACGCAAACAAAAAATTATAATTAAATATAAGCATAATTAATAAATATATTTTGAACAAAGTTCATCTTCAGTTTTAAATCAATCAATCCATTATCAGTGATGTTAATCAATTAGTCAATAATTAGAATTATCAAAATAGATTTTGAAATCATGTCTTTTAGTTTTACCAAAAACTATATATTATTTCTTGGAAATACAGTATGAAACACAGGAAGCCCATACAGATGAAAATGATAGATTTGATAATGCATTTGATAAATAGAATAAGATAAAAAAATATATGACAGTTTAAGATTACTAATATCTAGGATACTATTTCTTTGGAATTTGTACTRCACATTTATAAAGAATTAATGTCTGAAATGTCAAGTTACAGTGTGTATAAAATTAGCACTTTTTCATAAGAACCAATAATGTACAGCTCTCATTAGTTTAACACTATATATTAGATATATAGAGGGATATGAAGATATCTGCTTAAAAAGCTATACTTACTAAGACAAAATACATATTCATCTAGTTCAAACTGCATAAAACATACAAAATCAATTAAAAAAAACTAAACATTGCAAGCTCCATTCAGTTTGTCATCACTATTCTATCTTAAAGTATTTAATAGAACACAATGCAAATGTCAGAAATGGTATTATTGATCTTAGTATTGTGACATCAGCTTCATGATTAGAGTTCATTTGAGCATTGTACTTTCTCTTTGCAGCCACCCTGCTTGTTGTATATCAGCACAACACTGAATACACACCTAATAATCAAATGCAACAAGATGGACAAATTACCATATTTGGGTGGAAAAGGTTTTTATGGAAATCTGACAATCAAAGGTCTTGGTAAGTGTTTATACTTAAAATATCACAAAAAATAGTTTTGGTTTTTTTCTTTCTTTGTAACAATGAAACTATTATTGTACTGTTTTCACTGTTGAAAAATACTAAGAATTAAGCAAWATTGAAACTGAATTGTTTATAAGTAATTATACATAATGGCCACAAGGAATATTAGGGATTAAATTCCCTTTTAAAATACAAGAGGGTGTTTAGTGGAARTCCCAAGACCACTAGCAAAAGTCAACAAAGACATCCCACATTTGCACATTTGTGAGCATTTGGAGAATATTGAGTTATAGATTCTTTTATAGCACATTGACAGGTTTCCATTTTGGTCAGTCCATTGTACCCAGTGTTATAAAGGCACGCGGTTATTACCATCTCAGGTTGAGCGATCAACCGGCTGAATGACATGAGGGAAAATTAGTTCTAATTTTCCCTCATGCACTAATTTTCCCTCATGCATATAAGAATGAGGAGGAAAACATTTCTGAAACCAAAATGGCCATAAATATATCAAGTATTTCACTTTATTTTGTACATCATATAAAMTATCAATGGCCTAGATCTGAGGAAATTATTGTGATGTATAGCTACAGATTACTGAATAAATCATTGGCTAACCAATTCATTTGCCTACTCAAATTCATAATTCGCTAAACCTAGTGTTAGTAACACAATCTTTTTTATCAACCTTATCGGCCAATCARTGCAAAGCAAGTGTTATAATGCTAAAAGCTTTATACTGTCTTATAATGATGTCTTAAAATTCAAGGGAATAGATCATTTATTCTACAACTTACCTGTAACTTCCTTGTATGCTTGAAAAGTCAAAAATTATATTAAGCAACAGGGATTCTGCCTGACAAATCCAATTATGTAATGAAGTTTAGCAGTGTGTAAAGGTGGCTAAATGTTTAAAAATATTTTAAGTCTTTCTTGTGTGCATACTTAAACATTATCTAAATATTCATTATGAGTGGCGTAATGGCAACAAGAAGAGTTACGATGCAAATTGTTTTAAATAAATAAAAAGAATTCAATTAAATACTATGAAAAATTCAACTTTGTCTAAAAAAATAATCTAACCACAAGACACAATCAGAGAGTTGTTAAAATTGAATTTAACCTATTTATAACTGTTTTATAGCTTTCATTTTAATCTATGTTGCTTTATTAAATGATCCCAGAAACAATGCAGATCAGAAAAAGATTCTTTGGATGATAAAAAAACTATAGACCATTTTAAATGCAATGCAGTGATACTCTATAATTAGAGAATTRTATGCATAGAATGAATAGCCAACTACTTAACTATTAAACTATTTAAAGCAAATATCACTTCTTACGTCAAGCCACTCTTGCATATCTCCTTTGCATACAATACGTCAGTCACTAGAAACTACATGTAGCTTCCCGTRGTTGTGTAGAATATATTACAAGAACAATATTTTTATGACTCCRAAATCAGGATATTTTTGCAGCACTTTAAAACATTTCCTGGTCGCGACGCTAAAATTTATTTCCGCTATTGATGACAGTTTATGCCCAGACAAGTATCCCTCTGAAATTGTGTATATTTGGATCAAAGGGAATCCTCTTTCGAAGCGAGATACGGATGGATTTAACACTAAGAACTTGTACAATATAAATTTCAGCTTTACAAAGAATTGGAGAGAATTAGGGTGTGAATTCGCAAAACAAACAAACCACTGATGATGTGAAGATATCTTGGAAGATTGAAACAGACAAAACACACATACAAATGACCTAAGTACTGGTTTGTCTATTTTTCAAACGTAATAATTTTAGAATAAGAAATATTTTAGGAGGCAAATAAATTGGATGTTTTGATGAACTTACATTTTGGAGTGATTTTGCCAAGGAACGTATTCCTGGGGAGAGTAGCTTTGGTTGTTCACTATTCCACGTTGTTGATTGTATAACCTCATCGTCTTTAAAGACTGAGGAATCATCGTTATCGTAAACACCATTATTGTCACTAACACTTTTAGTTGGAGTACTGTTACTTCGTCCAGTCATTCGAACGAGTTTGTCGTCTTCCATTTGCTTGCCCTCAGGTGGAAGCTCTAGCTCACGCACGTAGTTAGCAGGAACGTACATGGGCTTCTCGCCATTACGTTGTACATGCCACCAGTCATCATTAGCTTTACTTAACAGTGTAAACTTTTCACCAGCATCAAAGGTGACCTTCCTGCCGTCGCCGGCATCGTAGCTGTAAGCGTATAAAGCTTCGACTTCACCATCAACCATCGCCATCTTCAACAGTAAAGTCCCGTAACGACAAAAGCTAACACGTTTGCCACTTACATTACCACGTCTCCACAAGCTCTAAAGATTCATCACTAAATGGAAAGTCCCATATGCTGATAGCTGAAGAACTCAGTAGTTGGTTATAAACGAAAAGTTTGGCGAACCAATGTCACCGACTCCTGCATGGGTCCCTAGGTATAAGTTACTTACTTGTAAAATCGTTCAAAAATCACTATTTCACCATCACATACAAGTCTAGTGCGAGTGATACACATTAAAAATGTGCGTATTTCCCTTCTTACAAATTCTTTTATAAATCACAGCCCGCAAACCACAGAATTTAAATAGACCAATATTTTGAGAAGTTCTCGATCGATTATACAAAATGGAAGACCAGCATCCAATCGAGGCTTACCGCGATAATTTAGAGGACTGGGGCCGTTAGTACCAGACTCCTTTAATTTTTTCCAAGAACCTCATTTTGCGGAAGGGAAGCGGAAGTTCTTAATAGAAAGGAGGGAATTCCCCGAACTTATTTTAGATTCATGATAACTAAATATTTCATAGATAAGAGCAAGGGTTGCAAGCATAACGTTGCTAATTTGCGGGGGCTTTCATCGTGGGCGTTTGAGAACATAAAACTGCAACAACATGGACAAAGCTGAGATCCAAATCTTGGATGAAGAACTTTCAAGATTGAGTGCAGAGATTTCAGACCCTGATATCATTGCAAACGGTATCGGTGTTTTTAATGAGTTGGATAGACAAAGAATCAGAAGAGAAAGGTACGAACGCTCTGAAGTTCATGGTGTGCATGAGTTGATCTCAAGACTGAAAAAGAGAGGACCCAAAGCATTCCAGCAGTTTTTGGAGTCACTAAAAGGCTCCCACGAGTCTACATACAGAAGATTACGTGACAAAGCAATTGCTCGTGGGCTGATGCAAGAAACCGAAAATGCTTCAATCCAAGGTATTAAAAACAGGCACCTTGCCATAGATAGAATATTAAGGATTTGAAAAAAAAGTTCACGCGTTTCTCAAACTTAAAAAAATTAGTGAAGATAGTTGATGCATGATTAGGTAAGCTTATAAAGCATTTTCTAATCAATTATTTATGCATATTTGAGCATGGAGGGACATGGTTAGAAAGACTGGTCATAATATATTTTTATGATTAGGGAGTGGTCCTATATTTACAGGGGGTATAGGTGGAACCAGGAAGGAAGGGAAGGAGGGATGAGGCATATTTATGATACTTTATTTGTACTTTTTGTAGAGGACTTAAATTATATATGCTTGGAATTTGTTTGTAGTGTGTATCTTGTATTTATATTTTATAGCTGATGAAAGAAGTTCCAGCGATGTTATTTCAAGAGGTCCAATCGTTACAGCAAGTGCAACATCTAYTTCATCATCTTCAAACAGTGAAGAAAGAAGTAACTTTTCAAGGAACCTGCAGTCTGAAAGTGCTCCTGAAAATTCAGGACATGAATCTGGTATAAATGCAGACTACTCATGTAGTGCTGATGGATATAATTCAACACCCAAAAGGGTGAACAGCAGCAACTTTCATGAAGAAAAGCCGTGCAAGAACCTGGGACCTGGTGAGTTAGAAAAGAATGCAGGGACAACATAATTATATAGGTCCATTTTTTCATTGTGTACTCTTCTTGCCTTAAAGGCATTCAGTCAAACTTTAATGGACACATAATATATAGTGGCAAACCTGAATGTAGAAGATCCACTTCAGAAAGACAATATTTCAAACATTGCTTTTCAACTTACTAAACTAATTAAAATCATTTTCAATCTACAGAAACTCTCCTTAAAGACATTCAAGTAAGCTTAAAGTCAAAAATAGTGACAAACATGGTAGATGATCCACTAAACAATGACTGGAGGGGACTTGCTGGTGAAGCAGGGTTCACAGTTGAACAGTGCGAGAATCTGAGGACAGCAAAAAACCCAATGGATGCACTCTTTGTGTGGATGGTGCAGAATCAACATACCATCTCTTACCTCACAAATATGCTGAAAAAGATAGGAAGGCATGATATTATTAGAATCATCACAGAATATGGTTATGGAGAAGACTCTATCAGTGATGAAAATGTTGATGAGATAGCACAAGGTAGAGGTGCTCATGTTGCTGTCGCAACTTAGCTGCTGTCTTTGTGTGCATACTGTAGCTTATCCCTTTCTGTATACATGCACTGCAGTAATCATGCTGTACAATAGCTGACTTTAGGTATTTTGGTCAGTGACCATACACAAAAGAGTAGCAGATGAGGCTCCAGGGAAATATAAGTTAGAATAAATCAAGATTGTCCTATAATTTTGAAAGCCATTAACAATTAATCTAATATGCAAGTTTATTGGAATGGCAAGTCAAGTTGTATAAGAAACTGTTGTAAATTATATGTTACATTTATTTATATTATTTGAAATATTAACATTTCTTTAGAAGAAAGTCAACCTGGACCATCTTCATCATCACAAGTTTCAGAGAGTGATTCAACAGAATCCAAGGAGCACAAAAAAGGTTCACATAAGCTGTCCCAGGAAGCAACTGATGGCAATGACGATCAAGAAGGGCTTACTGCTACTACTCCATTGAGTGAAATTCCCGAAGATGATGTGTTTATAGGTTCGTACTCATGTTTCTTTATGTTTTGTRCACTTTTTTTTGTATGTTTGTTATTTTCATTAAAATATAGTTCATCTTTTACTGTTATAATTATTAYTTTTATTCATGTTTTCTATGTGTAATATTCCCTCTTATTTATTACCATTCAGAGGAAATCAAGGGGAAAGCTTTACTTCTTGGTGTTGAATTATACCTAAACATGCTAAGACTTCAGAGACTTAATCGTCATGTCAATGACTTGAAGTACACAATTGAAATGGACTACAAAAACTGGGATGTTGAAACTAATGGTAACTCATGATTTCAATTCAAATTCTTTTTCTGACAATAATATTAATATATCTTTTCATGATTTTAAATTATAGTAGCCAAATCAAAGACTGTATGTAAYTGTGGCAGAGGAAATGCACTGAAAGAAGTAGCTTATAGTTACCTCAATACTGTCAACAGAAATGATGTCTGTTTCATATATATTGCTGGACACACAGTACAGGTAATGTATCAACTAAGACTAAAGTTAGTATAGTGATCGATCGAATGAGACTTTAAGCATATCAAGACATTTTTAAATATTGTGGAATGATAAGCTTTATTTTTTTTTAAAAATAGACTTAGAGAATGTAAAAACGGCAAGCAGCTATAAATTACCTATTTTTTTCAAAAATTTGTTGCTGGATGAGTATTCAACCAGCTAAATCAACCAAATTTTCAAAAATAGTACTGATGGTAATGAAGTCTTACATGTGGCAAAGTTTAGCTGTAGCGGATCTAGGGGAGGACACAATCTAAAGGTGTTCAAGACTGCATATACAGCACCAACRGGAAACTATGAAAATACATTTTTTGTCAGTGTGATCACCTTTTATGATAGGATCAGAGATCAAAGTTTTTGTGATTTCCAGGGTCAGGGATCAAGTTTTGAGCCCTGAGATTGAGATAAGTTAAAATCCTTTATACCTTGTTGATACCCTAGAGGTGCAGGCGCGTAGTGTGCGTAATAGTGGCAAGGAAATATTACAATTTTCGGGATTTTTTTATATAATTGTCTTTTCTTGCTTTCTCGCACCAMGGCTTCGTTATGAAAAAGATCTTGAGGTTCACATTTAGATAAAACGATCCAAACAACATTGTGTCTGCATATGCAGACATGCAGGGGCAGCAAAAATTATCAAAAATTCACAAAAAATTGATGCCTATGCTCTTGATGCCCCTCAAAACGCTGGAAATCGCATTTCCAAGAGTTATTATTTCAAACTTTCCTGGGGGAGGACCCCCCTTAATACTCCCCCTAAGACCCCCCTTAATACTCCCGCTTTCGGCGGTCTTTAGCCCCCCCTCTCCCAATCCAGAATATGTGTCGCGGTCCCTGACATGTGCGTACTAGYCAAAAAGTCCACGCTACTCGCCTGAGGTGCACTGCAAACTTTCCTCTATTCTGGTTTCAGTTTCCAATTCCGCATTTGCCACAATTTGACTGCAATTGAGGCACTGAATATTGCTTTAATTATATCCAGTAATGAWTAATAAATAAATTTATCTCGCTCGATTTCACTTCAGATTAATGGTGAAAACTATCTTTTACCAACGGATGTTGCCACTGATTTCACTGCAGCTGACATTATGGAATGTTCTTTGAACATAAATCAGTTTTTGAAAGAGCTGACTCAACGTGAACCCTTGGTGAGCCGTTGATTTTATGATAAATAGAATACATGTAATCTTTTTCTTGAACTCTGAATTGGTCAGTACTGTCCTTGAAATATGCGATACCAGATTGTCTGAGTTTCACGCTTTCATACAGATCGTTTGGCGGGTTTGAATGATTCTAAGCCGTTTTCAATTGAAAAYTGTCAAGTCATTGCAATTAACAKAACTTTTTTCCAGATGTTAATGGTGTTCGTCGATGGCGCACATTACAGTGATGYCGCCTTTGGTGTCGACACTGCACTTCCTGGCCTTGCTCCCATGGTCCCACCACCTAGATCCGTCATCGTGTATCCATGCCAACCAGGACATGTTAGACCAAAGGAGGAAACACTGTGAGTTCCCCAATGTCGTAAAAAGTTCTTGTCAGTCAGGCATAAGATAGCTAGTTTACTTGTCGACAATTGCACGACCGAAATTTGCAGTGGGTATAGATGGATGAAACTCACCTCTTTGATTTGAAAACATGGCTCAAATGTAGGACAAACTATCAGTTGACGGAGTATTAGCCTCTTATAATAGCTGTTGTATGACCGCGGTTCGTTCACGAGGGAATATGTTACATGCAAATCCCCACTTGCGGACGCTCTCGTAAGCGGAAGGCTCTCATCATGGACAGCTTTTCAAAACCCCTCTTCCTTCCAACATATCTGCCAACGCCGGGCACTTTTTCCTTTTCAAAAGGACTCCGCTTACGAGAGATTCAGTATTAAGATTTTTTCTGTTCTCCAGATCATTTGTGCAATCAATGATAAACGTCCTTGAAGGTCACAGCGTAACTCCTGCCATACTCCTGTCTGAATTAAAGCAACGTTATCCAAGCACATTCGTCTTCTCGCTATCGCCCAGGTCGATTCTACCGCTTTACATTAACGACCAAGATAAAGGTATTTAAAGCTTTCTATATCGAGAATACCACACTATATTGATCAGTACTCAGCAAAATTAAAGTAATAATAAACAAACAAACAAAACTTAAAAACAAATATAAAAACATTTAAGTTCGGCTCTCTTACATTTGATATGATATAAATTGCTTACCTCGTCACTATTGGCAATTATTGGTACCTATTAGATGGGCGTGGTTAGTCTTAAAAGAGTTTTTTTTTAGAAAAACAGTGTAACAATACGTTAAATCTACACTTACATGTACATGCGTTTGTCTTTATTGTTATGTTATTGTTGTTTTACCTAGGACCTAAACTTCAACGTCCAAGCAGTGACACCCCTCGGTATTCTCTGATATTTGTCGATGATATGTCCGCTGGTGATTCAAGACAGCAATTATTGAACGACGCAGAACATTTAAAAGCTAGTCTAACACTGCTCGAATGGACAGGTAAGGGATATTTAGACAACTAGTRTTGAAATACAACCTCCTGAACTGTTCTATCTGTTATATAGTGAGGGTCATATGTACTGCGYGAATTCATGATTGTTTCCTTCTTGTGTTTGTTTAGTTGTTGTTTSTATTTTCCSTTGACTTGTCTTGTCTCATTTTTCAGTCTCGMATTTTGTCAAAAGTGAATGCRAAGAYATTCGGGGGACTCTAAGAGAAAGATTTATAACGGGCGAGCTCGTTGGAAATGAGATGAAAGTCGTCATGGTTTACTTCATTGGTTTTCAATCTAAGGTCAGTTCATTTCTTTTGGCATCAATAGTCAATCAACAATTTGGCGAGAGGAGGAAGGCGGTCCGGCATCTTCTTATTTTTCCTTTCTCGTCAATAATCCTTAGCGGTAAAGATAAATGTTAAAAAGGAAGCCCAAAGGGGAAAAAGAGTTGACTCGGGAGGAGGCTGGGTTTAACCAAAGCACCTTCCTGCTAAGCAGGGTGCACATTGGTTTCTTGATGTAGATTCCATGATAGCTATTCCGCTTGCGGTTTCGATACAGTGTAAAGTCTATTGGCTTTGTAGTCAGTTTGAGTTCAACAAGTTTTCAGTAAATGTATTTGTCCCACTAACTTGGCAGTTAAGCCAGRCCAAGAAGTTATTTTGCAAGAAAGGGGGATTCCAAAACCCCTAGAATTCACCCCCTTCGCAAACTTTTAAGGGCAACGTAGCTCAAGAAAGCATCAAKCATTCCAAAGAGCTTCTTTACTCTAGTGATGACGATTTGATGTTTATAACATGAATCTTTGTATTTAGGACAAACGCTCACTCGTCATTGACCAGCAATCCTCCATGAACATCAAATGGGTAATCGACATCATGTGTGAGCATATTTGTGGGGTAAGTCAYTCCATTGCAAGAATCATAGCTTGCGTTACCCTGGCCCTAAGGCTACTCTCTGACAATGAAAGTGACGTCACTCATGCCAACAGACGATGCTCGCGCGCGAATGAAAACGAGGTATTTCCTGGAAAACATAAGCCAGGTACAGAAGACAGACAGTGTTACCCAACTCGATTATGTTTGCCCGAAAATACCTCAGATTCAARCTGGCTGCATTCTATTCTCCCTCGTTTTTGTACAGTACTGCACACATTTACATCAATGTAAATTCATTAATTTTGAACATTTTCGATTGTTTTAGTGTTTGTATAAACTATAGGGATTGTGCATTTCTGAGAATTTCTTTTCATAGCTTTCTGATTATCTTTGTCTTATAAGTTAAATACCAATGTTATCATTCCCCATGTGTTTCTTATAGCCCAAAGTCCTCATTGTGGATGATCCAAGCTCAAAGCCTCTCGACGTCGCCACACCTCTTCCCCCTGATGTTTTGATGTGTGTACCCTTAGAAAGGGAACCCATTCATAGGTTAGTATGCGCACGTCTAACATAACCATATACGTGAAACATGACCATATACAGCAATGCCATTTTCTAGAGCAAATCACGACGGTTAATTACGCATTTTTTGCGTCCGTTAAGATACATAGTTCGCAAAATCTGTTTTCGTTTTCGGTTTTTTTTGCTTTGTTTCTGTGTTTTTTTCCAAAGCCGCAATTTGTTGCCGTTTTCTGCTTAAAGGAAAAACAAAAATGGATTAGGGAGATTACTTCAACGAACACAAAGAAGTTATGCTTCCATGACAACCGCTCACCAATATACGTTGTTAGTCTCACTGCATCAATATCTATGGAGTTGATAATCAATAATATATCAATGTTATAATATGTTGAAATATTACTATACAGCCTTTTGCAAAAATTATGAGAATTGTCGAAATATCTAAATGTCATAATATCAAATGGATGATGGGTAATCCCGCGCGATGCCCTTAGTCCCTTGTCTTTGTAGTTTAGGTTTTTTTTTTGACGACGGACTTATCCGTAGTTCTGAACATTTTCTCGATGTAAACAATGAATTATTATAGCAAACTCGCGTGTTCCGTAAAATATATGGATATGGATATTATGATATTTAGATATTTAGACAATTCTCATAATTTTTGCAAAAGGCTGTATTAAACTATATATTACAATATAACTATGGAGGACCGATGCAACGAGACGACAAACTTATATTTATACAGTTATCATGTAAGCATAACCTACATCGGAAAGTGCGCGTCTCCCATGATTCTTTGCAGTAAAAAACTGCATCGTCGCGTAAAAACTGTCACACACTTTTACGAATACTCTTTKTTTATTGTGCTAAACTAATCATGTGATCTTAGACTATGAGATAAAGTTATTCTGTCTTTGTCGTTTCCCTTAGGTCGCCCGGAGAAAGAGACAGTTTTACCTTGAATCTAGCTCAGAAACTGGCTGCCCACCCTGAGCAAAAGCTGTTGAACATTATAAAAACAACAGCTTTCAATTGGAAATACCAAAAGGTCGATTCCAATTTATTTTATGCTTGAAAAAAAGTCTAATTTAGTAATAATTGAAATTATAGTTTCCACCAAACTATGGGCTATTWCAAATCCAGCATTCAGATTGTCTACTRAACTATGATCTATATTCGTGTTAGTGAAGTGAAGTGAAAATAGTCGTAAGTTGTCTCTTACGTTCGTTTGTCACATTTGTTCCATAGCTTGGTGGATACTGAAACAATAGCCGACTTGCGAATTACGCATCAATAGTCACATACAAAGGAATCAAGACGAGGCGCCGTGCTTTTTTGTGAAAAATCTATTGACTTTAGCACGGCGCCTCGTCTTGATTCCTTTGTATGTGACTATTGATGCGTAATTCGCAAGTCGGCTATTACACCACTCGGTCTCCTGGACTACGAGTTGATAGCCCATTCGGCCGAGTACAGCCTCATTGGACTCGGAGTCCACTCGACCCTGTGGTCTAATTGCCAATGAAAGTGTATCACGCCTTTTGAAGGCAAGCACTCTAAGGTTCGTTTTAGTTGAGGTCTTAAGCCATTTCGCGTCATCTTTTCACACACATAAAGCGTTTTATGTACTTCAGATTCACAAAGGCTTAACACCTTAACTACAATATGAAAAAATTTCAAAGTATTTCTAGGGATATCACACTTTAAAATAATAGTACTACTTCGCACAGAAAACTTAAATAGGGATCAGAACTGCGGAGCAGTGTAATCTTGTTCAACTAATGGGAGCCTTATAATTCTCACTAAAAGAGAGAAAACCGAGGCATAAAATATAAGAGACATAGCAGGGGTAAACTTGTGTAAAGTCCTTTAAAAGGACTGTGTCAAAACAACACGCAAATTCCCTGGGTGTTTTTAAAGAGCCGTCGTGTAAAATGCAATTTGGCACATTCCTACTAATCCATTGAACGTAACATCAATATTCGTCAAAGGCTCGAGTTTTTTACTTCATTCAATGCACTTGTAGATATTAATATACTGTATAGTCGAGACAATCAAATACAATAATCACATATTTATATMCTTGTGGCATTCATTGTTTAAACGTCACACGTATTTGATGTATCCGTCCTGTGGGATGTCTTTGCATTGATTAAAAGTCACTTTATTTGCTCGAGATCTATTGTGACTGCCCTAGTCTGAACAAAAGAATAGACTTCTGAACCTTTTACGTCACTACTAGTGATTTTCAATGCATTGTGGGATCAGTTTCAAGAGAAAACAAAAGAAATCCGCCATGTTTTGTCCCAAACATGTCCTACAATGCATTGCGTATACGGTACATGACATAAAAGCTGCAGAGGT